GCGCACTCGCGGGCGCAGCGGCCGGCACACCCCAGCTCTCCAGGCGCCGCAAGGCCGGACCGCCCACGCGGGTCCCTTACTCGGGAGAGCACAGGCCGCTGGACCCCCAGCGAGGCCAGATCTCTGACTGGCCACCGCGTCGGTGAAGGCATGACAGACCGACAGTTACCCATACCCACTGCCCGCCCTCAGCCCTCTCTCACCTGCCTGCACCGTGTCCGAGAGGTCGTGCGCGGGGGCCGCGGTCCTGGGAAATTCCTTCAGTTTCCTGGCACTGAGGTTCAGACCCCCGGAGTTGGCCGCTTCCTCCAGCGCGCGCTCCAGCCCCCTGTTCAAGGGCAGGTTTGAAGCCCCCGCTGCCGCCGCCGCCACCACCGCCTCCTCCGGCCCCGCCGCTGGCTCCAGTTCCTCCGTGGTGCTGATGGTGGTGGGGGGGATGATGATGGGGTGCAAAGTAGCCACCGACAGGGCAGGGACGAAAGGTTGGGGTTCGCTTCCCGGCGTCGCCATCTTCTCCCGGGCCCCCCCCTACCCCGCCCCGCCGCTCCTGCGGGGGGGTCAGAGCTTTCCCCCAAGAGCGGGAGACGGCGGCCCGGGTCCCTGCAGTTCTCCACCGAAGATGCTGGAACAAGGGGAGGAGGGTGTGGCAGGCGCGTAGAATTGGGGGCAGACGGGGAGGCGGCAGTGGCAGCTCGGTCTCGAAGGTTTCCTGTCCCCGGGAAGCTAAGGACTGCGGCGGCGGCGGCGGCGGCGGCAGCGGCAAGCAGCGCGCATGTGTCTCCTCCCGCCTCTGCTCCCTCCTCTCGGTGGCTCTCCCCTCCTCCGCCGCCTGCTCTCTCCTCCTCCTTCCCCGAGCCGTCAGCCCGGCCCCGAGCCTTCCAACGCCGCCCGCCGCGCTGGCCCGGCTTCCTCGCTGCGCTCCGCCGGGCTATGCCGATACATGGGGGCGCTGGACCTGCACGGGGGTCGCTTTGATTCAGACGCCGAACTCCTCTCTGGGTTTCTTTTTGCTGCCCAGAGGACTTTAGGGGACAAAAGGTTTTAGGGGGTCTAAGAAGTCAATAGATGAGATTTGCAAAACAGTGAAGTTACAGGTGAGAGGTTATCTCAATTCTGCGAATTATTCTGGCTGTTTGACCCAGAATTCCACAAGGGGCAGTTTTTCACTGTGGAGTTAGGCCAACAGACAACCCCTGGCATTTGGGCACCTACAATGAGCCAGACTGGTCTAGGTCGTATACATTAATGATCTTATTAATCCAGAGACCCCATGAGTGGAAAAATTGTTTCCCCCAGTTTACAGAGGAAGTTACGAAACTTGTCTGCGGTCACCGATGCAGTCAGAGGCGGAACTGGATTCAAAAGTAGAAACTTCAGACTGTAGAGTTGCCATCCTAACTGTAAACTCTAGGGCCGGATTCCGCTACAAATAGGAGTGGGGCAGAAGGTTTTCTGAGCGACAGTAGAAAACTACAGGCACAGAAAGGAAGGACTTTCAAAAGGCAGAATAGTTTTTATGGTGGACAGAACCCATTGTCACATGAGGAAGACATGCTGGCTGTGGCCGACTCAGCCCCAGACTGAGTGGTGCTGAAGAGGTTAGAAAATCAGTGACACCCCCCACCCCCCACCCCCGCAGCCCATAACTCAGCCAGAGTTTGAGCCTGCGCACAGGTACCGTCAAGTTGTCTTTGTGCACTTCGTGGCCCTGTGGGGCATGGGGCTGATGTGTCCGCCTGCAAGCAAATTCACGTTCTGCCCAGACCAACGCTGGTACACTGAAGACGGCAAAACGTCTGACACTATAAAGGCAGACCAGCTGGAAGATTGGGACAGTCCACTCCTTTCCGAAGTTTCGGCTCCGACTCTCTGGGGCGTTTATTTTTGCTCTATACCCAAAGCTTGAGCATCCCTATGAACGACTTAGCTAGGGGAAGTAAGGATGCGGGTCAAGTGCAAAAATAATTCAACCTTTGGAACATGGAAGGCGGCTTTTTAAGTGATAATGCAGAGAAGTGATGGCCTGAGCACAAGGCTGGATCTGAAGTATGGCGTGATCTCTGTCACACTGCGCGCATGGTAAGTAGCCCTTGATTTCTACAGGATTCTAGAATGAGACAACATTCTAACCTCGGAGGAGGAGACAAGCGCCACCTGCTGGTATCTTCCCCCCTCAAAACCTCGTCTCTCACCAACTCATTTTCCCCTCTGCCTCCCAGACTTAAAAGCCAGGCTGGAAAATAGTAATAATGATGATGATGAAAATGGAAGTGTACTTATGAATACTAACCTGCCATACCCTTTCTTCACTGATCTTTCCCCAAAAAGCCAGTGGGAAACAGAGAGACAGAAAAAAATTTCACTTGAAAATCTTCAGCTAAAACCAGGTGGTGGTCAGTGTGATCAGCATGCAGGGAAATGTTGAGGACATCTTCTGAAAGACTGCAAACTTAGTTTGGCCCATGAATTGTAGTGATGCATCCTGTAGAGCATAATTTTTTAAGACCGTGAATTCTTTCTTAGAGGAAATGATGGACTATAAGTTCAGAATTTGCTTTGTAACAAATAATCTGTCCTTATGTTAGGTTGACCTAGTTATTATAGCTTACTTAACCTTCTCCAAATTAGAGGAAGGGACCTATTCATCTTTGTAACTTCCTTCCCATATCCCAGAGTACTTTGCACATAATGAGTACACAATGAAGATTAGTAATTAAGCATTGCACAACAGACCAAGTGTTTTACAGGTTGCCATTTGTTGATACATCTTTCTCAGTACTAAAGTATTCTCTCTATACTATATCTGTAAATATTTATCTGTAAATGATGTCCCTGAACAAAGAAATTTTTCCTTAAAATGGGAGAGAGTACTTTACCTTTGAAACTGATCTTAGTTATTTATAAATAGTCAGGAAACTTGACAAGCCGTTTTCTCTTGCTGTCTTGCTCCTTCACTATTTTTTCAATAAGGTGGACATCTCTGCTTTGTTCAATACCCTTTTCATTTCTTCTGAAAACAGAACCCTCTTCCTGTTCTACTTTCTCCATGCCATTCGTATAGTCAGTCCTCTGGTAACAGCTGTGTTATTACCTCCATCCAGCTAGCCATCTGGTTATTCCAGATGTGGACTTCTGACCAAATGATCGAACACTCAGAAGATCAGAGAGGATCCTGAATGTGTTCAACCCCTAGATTCTGACTGTTCCTGACCCTTATCTTTAGTTTTTCTGAGATAGCCAGTAATGTATTGATAAGACATTCTGCTGTTTGCTTAAGTCAATTTTATTTGGTTTTCTTTCAATGCAACCAAGAATTCTAATTACTGTATTTAATTTACCATATTTCAGTCTTTATTCCATCTTATTTTCCTATATAGCCCTATTTTTGAATGGTCCACAAATAATCTTTTACAAACTATTTGGATGATGGCAGCGGATTTTTTTCATGCTTTGTCTTTAGTACCTTCCAATCATTTCACAAAGTTAACAGAATTCAAATGATTGAGAAAATGGGGGAAATAGAAATATTCTCTGCTTAAAATATTGACTATTAAGAGAAGAGTGATCAGTTTCATCAATAAATCAAAAAATTTTGGAGCCTTTTTTCAATTCTTGTGCTCAGAAAACATATAAGATCATAGAGACTCTTCCACATTTAAGACTCAGCTCTTTCATGCTCACCTGAAAATAGAGTTGTGAACAAGCTTACAAGAATCACACTTATTAAGAATGGAAGACAGATTTGAGTAGGTCTATTCAACCCACAGCACCTTCTCAGAAAATCACTGGGAATTCTCTTTTGGAGGGAGATCAAAACATTGGCTGAAGAAGTGGGCGTGGTCAGCCAGGTGTGTCTTTCATGGTCCCGAAGCCCCCTCCAGCCACAGGGAGATGAGTGCACCCGCCTTACTCCTGAAAATTTACGCAAAAACACTTCAAACCCCTAGGCAAATAACAACAGGCATTTGACCCCCCAAGGCAGGAAGAATCAGAGCTTACTTACATCTTTTTACCTTACTATTCTCCAACCTCTCAGCTTTAGTTCCCTCTTTCCTAAAAAAAGAGCAGGAATGTTCCCTGATTAACACCACTGTTTTCTGGCTACTCTCTCCACAAGCTCTCAGTACTAAAGTATTCTCTCGGTACTGTATCTGTAAATATTTATCTGTAAATGATCCGGGTATGTCGGTTCTATTTTTAGTACATCAAAGACAGCCAGCGCTCAATACTTTTTTCCCTAGATAGTTCCATAAATAATGTTGTCTGACTGAAATATTTACGTATTATAAGACAACAAATAACACCAACGTAAATTGCTCTGAAGATAATCAATAATACTATTTTGGGCATGTTTAGGAGATTTTTTTTCTAGTATTCCAAAACACTCATCTGACAAAGCAAGCTTGGCAAACTTGAGAAGAATTAGGACCCTGTCCTGGGTTTTTCATTAAAGCTAAATGCACTCAATTTTAAGAATTGTATATAAATTTGGACTGTGTATGTAAATGTGAGACTGTGCTTTCCTATTTTTTCCTAGTAGAAAAAAATAAAACAATGGTAATAATAAATTCTAGTCAAATTAATATATTCTTACTTGGGAAAAAAAAAAGTCGGCTCCTAGAGTCAGCTCCCAAATTAATTTTTTATTCTGAATTACATGTGAAATCAGAAAGCCTACAAACCACTTGCTCAGATTTTTGGTTCTCTTAAAAGAGAGTTAGTCAGACTTAACTCCAGCTACCTGCTTTTAAGCTTTCTCTCAAGCTCTGTTCACACCAACTGTAGTTGAATGTATTGCCTCATGTCTGTGAGAGCATAAGGGCTATTTGGGTCACCACCTCCACCCCATGTCTGTTTGCTAGGCATTTTCATTCCAGAATTTATCATAAATCTGTAAAGAAAATATTGCCTGCCTTTGGATTTTAAAATATTTCTCAGCTGACTACTGTCTAAATCCAGCCATTTTGCCCTCTCCACTCCAACCTCCCAGCAGAAATCCTCAGTCCCCTCCAAAGGGCTCATTTTTACTTCTTAGGGAGCAAAGCAACAGCAACTATTGCCCTGTGACAGGCCCTGCTCTGCCTCCTCCTCCCTGCTCTCCCAGAGACAAGGCAGGGCTCTAGCTCCTAGACCAGGGAGACTTCACTTACATCCTCCTTTCCTCTGCAGTTCCCGCTAAATAAAGAAACCACAAAATCTGGGCCATCGAGATAGCAGGCTCGAAGAGGCCGCCTTCTAGAACCGTCCTCTGAAAGTCAAGAGTGGAGCTGTCCGTGAATGAGTGAATTTTATGGGTTTTAATCTCTGTTCTAGTTCATAGATACACTTGGACTTAGGATAAAATGCCAATTTTGTGTGATGTTTATGTTTAAATAATGTTTTTTAAATTATATATATAAGGTATTATAACCAATTGTGTAGCAGAAAGCACTCTGACCTAGCACTTAGGAGACATAATAGTGTTTTGAAGGAAACTATGAGGGAAACTATAGCTTGGACCACTCAGTGAGAAACTGATTGTAACAAAAAGAATTTCTTTGGCTTAATGAGGTTGATATCACCTTAAATAAATTGAAAGGGAAAAAAATATCAGTGATCAATAGCTGACTTTCTGGTTCCTGTCAGAAGTTTCTTAAGCAGATCAGGGAGGCGGGTAA